TAATGTGAGTATGGGAATCAAAGCTGTAGAGAAGTAGTTATCAATCCGCGACGAAGCGATATTTTACAATCCGAATTGTCAAACAATCTAATCCTTACGCGAAACGAATTGCGCGAGCGAAACACCCACTACGAGCAAGTCTATCAATTGTAACAATTAACTTAATTCTTGATTGCGTTTCGAGAAATAACGTAGCGACTTTCTCTACTTCCTGTCTATTTGAGCTGCGAAGTGCAACAGAACGAGAGACAGCAAACAACAGCAAGTACTAAAACTGAAAGACAGATTACACTGATTGTGAAACAGATAATTCAAAGCGCGATGCGTAAACAAGATGTAATCGCGATAAAGTATCACGATTTACCTTCAACTTTATTAGATGAATTAGTCCCGTGAAATATCTATGTACCCTGATAAAGAGCCGTCGCCTCAACATGCAAATCGTTTTCTCGTTACAAGTTGCAGGAACTTAATGATCGACGAACGTTACTTGTTACTGATAAAGGCGTACAAATTGATAGAGTTTGATTCCCATACTTATCGCGATCGCGTTTCGGAAATTGATAACGTAAAAGTAATACGACGTACGGAGCTACTCCCGACGCTGCCTGCCGGCTCGGCGTTCGGCGAGCGAATAATAGCGCGACGACCTTGGTGTACACAACAGCGGGCGGGACGCCGCGTGATACCGCGCGGGCATAAAAACGAAGGCGACCGTTGAATACTAATTGTTTTTTCGCCTACGAAATATGCGAAGTATAATATACGTTACAAATTCTATACCTGACATTCTCTTTCTCTCTCACTTACTTTGTTCAGCGATTTTACTACAGGTACATTTTGCACATCGTTCTGCGGATTATTAGCTTGAAGTAACTTGAAGTAACTGACTCCGTTCGATCGAGAAAATCTTGAGAAAGTTTTGAAACGAAAATTGTTTCTTAAATTCTGTATGAAACTCCGCGATAAAGCTGTCGCGAGGATCAATCTTGGCAAAATGTTATGTATGAAATTCCGCGATGAAGCTCTCGCAAGGATCAATATTGGCTGTGAGAATGAAAAGGAAACTAAATCCTTGCAACTTTCTTTGCCGAACAATTTAAGTTTTTGGCAATTGAAATGATCACAAGTATGAATAAACTTAAGTGGATAACTGAAGGAAGCGGATTTGTGAATTATATCCGAAGCGACGATACGAGATGTATCCGAATACGAATATTTAAAGAAACAATTATTGCTCATTATAATCACAACGAAGAAGTAATTTCACGTTAGCTAGCGCTTTGATTTTTTGACGTACAGATTTCATGTGTGAATCGCGCGAGATATGTCTTGCCGGTTAACCGAGCATTGATAGAAAATTGCGAGGATTTAGCGATCACGCGACGATATTAATCGCTGATTATTCACAGAGAGCGATCGCGGCTTCTTCCCGTTGTCGCGAACACGTATCAAGAAACACTAATACGATATACGAAGCGACGCGGGCCGCTAACCGATCCGTTCATGCCTTTTTGTGAGAGAGAATCCCTAAAATTTCGAGCTAATTTTATTTTAGACTTATTGTAAGAAGAGAACTGGAATTACGTTTCATTTGGAACAATTCAACAACTTTGCATTTTATCGCGGAAAAGAGACAACAATGCTTCGAGGCTTTCGAGTATCGACTTAACAGGCCTTTTGTGAGAGAGAATCCCTAAAATTTCGAGCTAATTTTACTTTAAACTTACTGCAAGAGAACTGGAATTGCGTTTCATTTGAAACAATTCAACAACTTTGCGTTTTATCGCGGAAAGAGACAACGATTCCAGACTTTCGAGTATCAACTTAACACGCCTTTTTTGTGAGAGAGAATCTCTAAAATTTCGAGCTAATTTCATTTTAGACTTACTGTAAGAAGAGAACTGGAATTACGTTTCATTTGAGACTATTCAATAACTTTGCGTTTTATTCAGCATTCTTTATACTTTCATTATGGAATGTGTTTTATTAATTTAGCTTTATATGCTTGACTTAATGAAGAATTAAGCATTGAAAGCATCCTCTTTTCGCCGCGTCAGAGACTGACACGACCAGACTCGACCTCGGCATTTCGCTTGGCATTAATTAGCGACGGGTGAGGAAACGCGCGATTGCAGACGGACCTCATTTCTAGCCGGAGTCACCTCGCCCGGGTCCCTCGAGGGGTCCGATGGGGCCTGCGGGACCCCACGGTCGGTGGCGACAGTTTTCTTTCACGTTACGTCAGAGTTAGCGAGGCAGTTGGTTCCGTTCCGTTCGCTCGGAACGGCAAACGCGCGCACGCGTCAAGTCCCGTCCATTACGGCACGGTGAGAAGGCGTGTTTCCACCGTGTGAGAGGCGTCGCGACTTCCAGACGGGGACCAATCGATGATTTCTCGAGAGTCATTAACTCACATAACGAATGATGCCAAGACAGCGTCGATGCCGATACCGCCATTCTGTTATACATGGCGCCCGTACTCCTCACCTTTATCGATCAGGATTTAATGCGATTGCGGAATGATCGGGATTTAAACAACAGGCAGGATTATCACTCACTTCGCAGTTTATCATGTATTTAAGCGATGGTGCGATAGTCGCAGCCTGGCGTACGGCATAAATAAATATGATAAGGAATGATGTAGACAGCGCGCGAGAAGAAGAAAAAGAAGTTTTCGCGCGCGGAAACGTTTGTCAAGCCTCGCACGGGGGGAATATGTTCCCGTCCGGTAGGTCAGTAACACGATAACGACGTAATCGCCGGAATCGTCGGAGACAAGTGAGCATAAGATAAGATATCGATTCGCAGCGTCGTTGCGATAGAGTGTCGAAACGTGGACGACGCCCGCACGTTCGCACGTTTGCACGAAACACGGCGTTCAGCTTCGTTAACTTCATCGGCAAATCTTGAATATCGGGTCCAGTCGCTGGTGACACGTCGCAGCGAACGCGTCGTCCCCTCGATTCACGCGACCGCGACTCGTCGTGTTGTTCGTGCAATTAGCTCGCGATGTTTCGCGGATAAGGATTCATCGGAGGAATCGAGTTATCTTGTAGTTTCCGTCGCGATACATGAAAATTTTGCGCGTTTAAAATCCATCGCACAGAGATCTCGAAAAGGTTTCAAGCGACGTTGCTTTGAAATTTGCCGGAGATCTTTTTTTTGTGTGAAAGGTGAGAATTTTTTGTGAATTGACATACTGCACATTCGTCGAAGGTGTTTTAAGATGTTTGCACATTTAATATTGTATAGTCTAGTTCGTGATATTGTCGAAAAATAATCTTATCGATTGGACGGCAAGGTGCTGTCTAAAAGTCACTCGGTGAATTATCACTGAAAATAGTGACTAGTAACTAATTTACAATTACAAGCATACCACTGCAAATTGCAACAGTGACTCTTCACTGTTTTCAGTGATAATCCACTGATGGACTTTTACGCGGAGAGAATTTTCTCTTAAAGTTTATCCTGAAAATCATGTGATCGCGTGGGACGATTTGGTATTGTGGAGAAGTTTATGAGTCTTTTCCAATTTTACCATACATAAAGTTCTTCAAAGTGCCATATTAGTCCACGATTATATGATTTTCAGGGTAAAGAGTGAGAACAAGTGTCCATAGGCCCCATTTTTCTCGCACTCGATTTTGGTCAAAGAAGGGATCAAGCGAAAGGTCTCGTCAAGCGGATTATAGATGTCACTCTCAGAGTGTATCTATTTAACGTTCCAGAGATCTCGGGCTCCAAAGGTTCCATTCCATTCCAAACAAATGGTTGGTGTCTGTCAGACGGCTTCATCGCTTACATCCTGGGAATTTTTGGAGCCCGATATCTCTGGAACGTTAAATAGGTACACTCTGAGACTGACATCTGTAATCAGCTTGGCGAGACCTTTCGTTTGGTACGTGCTTTGTGACCAAAATCGAATGCGAAAAAAATGGGGCTGACCTTGTTCTCATTCTTTTAAAAGAAATTTTCCACGTGTAGAAATAGATTTTTTTTTAATTTCGACAATATATTTGTACGATTTAAAATGCAATTAAGTCATCACCGAAGCTATAGTAATAGTGAACGATAGCGTGCGGTGTGACCACGAAAATAATCGATCGCAGGCATCGATAACGATCGCGCGATGATTATCTCGTCGCGATAAGCGGTCGCGAAAGAGGCCAGTAATATATGTTTATTAATTCGACAGGTCGGCGGCGCGGTAGCCATGTCATCGTCGGATCGGCACGGCGGATCATCACGAGAAATCGGCGTGGAGCCGGGAGAGAGCCATCGTCGTCGGCCCGACATACTTAGGGCCGCCGAGTAACGCCGGCGGATCGGTAACCGAGGGATCGATACGAGCGGATCGGTCCACCAGCTCACAACCTACGGCCTCCTTGCTGGCCCGGCCAGCTACTATGCGAATTGAAGCTCTCAGCACCCTCGTCGCGGTAAGTCCCGATTGTGGGATAAACGTTTGGCAAATTGTCGCACGTGCATTCGAACCTCGGTAGATTCGACTCTCAGGCTTTTTCAGGGTGCACGTGTTTGAAGGATTACATACGCGTACAGAAGAAAGATAACGATTCGTTTATAAACTTGGAGAAAAGTTTAGAAAACGAGAAAGTGTACTTGGAAATTCGCTGCGTCAATTTGACGTCGTACAATTCGACCGACCTCTTTCGCCATGTATCTCTGATTTTACGCGACTTCCGGTCCAGAATGAGCGTTTAAGCATGTCTCGTCAAATTATCTTTCGGGGAGAACCAGTCGAGATCTGCTCGACACTCGGAGTGTTAACAGTAGCCTCTCTTCACGGATATGTCTTAATAAAATCCCTTGCCGTGTACCTGTTGCGCGCAGAGTGCATAAGGTCACCCATGATTACAGTCGTGCACGAGCCCCCATACGATTGATGCAACAATCGACGAGCGCGCACGTCCCCGGCGTTGCCAGCGAGACAATAATTACAATGCCCAGCGACTACGTAACGATCGTAAAATACCGCCCGCCGCGTGCGTTATTAGCATATCATTGAGATAGCGCTGTGCGCACACGCTAATAGAGCTGTGAACGTCTCGCGTTTCCCTTCTTCAGCCGCTGTCACTCGATAAACTTTCAGGATTACGATCGCGCTTCGTTCTCTCTCTCTCTCTCTATCTTCCCTTTTCATTTAGTTTCCCGTTCGCGTTTTGTTACAGTCGGACGTCCTGGTCATGTTTTCCCACAGCTGATTTTCGGTACACTTGTCATCCCGTTTAAACGCGGTAAAAGATTTTGATCAGCGGTTTCCCCCCCTCGGTTTAACCAATGCACTTGTACTACTAGGGGAGGCTGCGACCTGTCGGGCGAGACGCAGATTTTCGGCGATAACGACCGTGAATTTTCACTTGTACCAAATTAAACGTATCGATGTCGATAATTTCTGACGATACGGCCAATTTAAAGGCCATATTTTGCTTAGAAATTGAAATAATAAATTGCGTTACGGAATCTTCCCTCGATTACGTCGATCGCCGTCGCGATTACGGCGTTCGTAAGGCCGCACGCGGACCGGCTGGCGGTCCTACAACGTCGGGAAGCGGGAGAGAGAGAGAGAGAAAGAGAGAAAGAGCAACATCCCTATCACCGGTCGACGTCGCGCATACCGGTGTTATCTACATAACATTACGGGCTGACGACGTACGGATACACGGGACCGGCGGCGATCTCGCGACGTTACTATGCCCGTGATATTGATAAATGATAATCATTGGTGCACCGCGCGGCTGCCGCACCGATAATTTAATAATGGTAGATTAGTGGCGCACGCACACGCGTGTAAACCGGCGCGCAGCAAGACCGGGCCAGCCTCTCACGGCGGCATTACTATGCTAATCGGTCCGCATCGGCGCCGATGCCTTCAATAAATAATCCTCTTAACGCGACGTTAAACGGGGATGCCAGGCCTGTATACGCCGCGCGCGTCCCGGCGATGTGACGGCGATGCATCGGCGACGAGTCCCGCCGATTTGTGCGAATGTCGTACGCACTGCCGCTCCGCGATGAAGATACCGTCGGGATTTTTCGGAGAGAGCCGAGATTCTCCCGCAACGTATTCTCCCGATTGCCTCGGATCATCATAAATATTACGTCGCCGTCGGCGCGTCGGGCGTGAGACAGCGTAGCTTTAGGAGTGCGTTTAAATTCTCGCAGAAAAAAAGAATGCGGCTATTACGATACAATCTATTCTAAAAATAGGGAGAAACCACGAAGCTCATCCTCGAAGTACACGAGGCCTCGAACAAAGTGCAACAAATGCACTTTTCAGCGGCGTCAGACGCGGGGCTATCCATGGTTATCGATGGTGATGTCATTGCAAATAACCGCGTAACGACTGTGTGGAAACAGTTCTTGGTTTTGTTTGATCGACACGCGTCGGCAACGGTCTCGATTTCCAACGAGATCGAATGCCGGCCGCGATTAGCTCCGGTGTCGATTTCAAAGCCGTCGGGTCAGTCTCCTCCGTTGAATCATCCGTTTCATCGCCGTTGGCGATTCTGACGGTAGGGGCGAAGTTTCACGCCTTGTCGCCAATGTAACGCACGAGAAAAGCTAAAATCGACGATTGGCGGCGGACCAAGCCAGAAACAACGCGCAACTTTCACGTCGCATCTGGCTTTTACGCAAATGCATCGGCGAGCGCATTCGGGCAACTCGTAAACTTTCGTCAACTTTCGGACCTGATTCGGACGGTGCGCTTTGAAAATTATATTTGTCGAAGCAGTTTTTCTCATTATTCATAAAATTATACCTTGCCCGTGTCTTAAAGGTTCATCGAGTCTTCGGAGTAAAGTCGCGCAATAATAAAATAAAATAAAACTACGACGTTTATGAACTTTCGGACCTGATTGGACGGTGCGCTTTGAAAATTATATTTGTCGAAGCAATTTTTCTTATTATTCATAAAATTATATTTTGCCCGTGTTTTAAAAGTTCATCGAGTCTTCAATAATAATAAAAAAGGAACTGCGATGTTTATTAGCGCACATATATGGAATTTGCATAACTCACCAATTCGGCGCGAGGCTCCGGGTGCTCACGAGCGTCCCGCAACAAGATATCGCCTTCTCCTATTATCGCGCGGGCTCGTCGTGGTCTGTAATTTAAAATAATTTGGAAATAACATATTACGAATCGTAAAGTTCGGTACACAGTATATAAAAGTGGTTGGGTCCCTCCGAGAGCCGCGCGCGGCTCGCACCGCGTGCTTTCGCGCGAATGATTTAGTGAGTCGTCGTGGGTGTATCTCGTCGGGGCATCGTCCTCCAACAGTTCCTTTTTTTTCCGCACGTCTAACTTGATACACGATCGCGGGGGAAGAGAGTACCAACGAGAGGGACGTTAACCGCGAGCCGATGTTCGTTAAGTCGGTTCCGTACCGACGAACGGCGCATACGCAAGAAACGGATGAATGAGGGGGGGAAAAAAAGGGCATCGCGCGCTTCCTCGTTTTCCCAATTAACATTCTACCCGTCCCGACGTCGCGCCACCGCGCCGAGGACAGGTGTCTCGCGATCGGACGTTTGCGCGGGTACTTGTTTCACGGAAATTCCGGATTCCCCCGCTTTAATGGCGACTCTCGCGGCGGGCGCGTTGGCAAAAAGTTGACGTCGCTTCCCGCTTCGGACCGATTCCGCTCCGATCTGCCGGACGACGCTCGGCCATCTGTGAAATCTCACGCGGTCGCGCATAACGTACGGGCTCGTTATTAATTTGCCGCGTAGGAGTAGGAGGGAGAAGAGTCCTGGCGGTCTCACGCGCGCGTACGCGCGTAACCGTACGCACGCATTGCGCATCGCGCGTACGCCACACGCACGCACGCACGCACGTACGTACGTACGCACCGCGGAGCACGAAACGGCAAGGCGACTAACCAAATATTTATACACGTCAATCATAACACATGGCGAAGCATTCGCTGTCTAAACAGTCGCGCGGTGCCCTTCCGTGCGAGCCACTTCGCCGCTGGCCGCTCATTATGCCGGCGCGGCGCGGCGGCACGCTGGAGGACCTTTCATTGCTCCTTACCTATCTCTAACAGGCACTCGATAGTTGCCGTTTGTCATGCGCTCCACGATGTTTGCCTTTCCACGGGGGGAAAAAAAATCACATCGCGCCCGCTCGCTCGACTCGCGCCATGCGTCGCGCGCGCCGATATCGTGGACCAAACTCCCGGCCGTGCTCTTCCCTACGTCGTACGATCGAAGTCCGAGAGACGAGTCGCGGGTAGAGATTCGAATCCACGATCGCTTCGAGTACGACAAGGCGACACTTGCTCGGTGACGCTCGATTGTCAGCGGAAACGTACATCGCGGTATTCGTAGTCAGATCTTATATTCAGGACCGTTTTGAATTTGTCTGAAGATGCTGTATGGAACATTTCATTGGCTACGGAGTAAAGGTGATCTTATTGTTAGATAAAGGTCCGACTGTGAATACCGTCTAAAGAACCGGTAGATGCAGTAGCTAGTGAACGTCGACATATCGACTGATCTCTTTCGCAAGGTCGTATCTCGATTCTACTCATTTCTGCTCCAGAAAGAGCGTTTAAGCACAAAACCCAGAAATTGCGAAAGGGATCAGTCGATATGTGTACCGAACGTTATTATCGCGCGACTATCATATAAAGTGCGCGGAGGACTGCAAGCCGGAGCGCGAGGTGCAACGAGGGTGCAGGGGAATCGGCGAAAATGGAGTGGACGCGGGCGAGGGTCGAGTGTCTCTCGCAAAAACGTTGGATAAATGGCGGGACGACGGTGTTGAAACCACCTTTGGCACTTTGCAATAAGCCGGGAGTGCCTCCGGTCCTTATGAACGCACAAAGACTATGCTAATGATACGAGCGTTGCATTGACGGCTGGGTAAATACGTGCCGCCGGTGCCGAGTCCTGCCGCGGAGTTTATCGTGTAAACTGCTGTTAATGATTGCCAGCAAAGGCCGAGCCGGCCGTTTCAGCGCGTTGCTATTTCAGTGGCTCGAGTTTAATTTGGCGTTGCCGCTATCCGATTATTTAAATTGTCCGGAAGCATAATACCGGATAATTATCGAATGGTCACCAACGCGTGGGGATCGTCTAAAGGGTCATTAGCGCCGATTTCCCTTTCGACGGGAATGACAGGTATTTGTCGCGATTACTCGCGAATTAACGAAGGTAATTAAATTCTTTGCGCGCCACTCTCCAAGATTTTCGCGTTTCTTCCCCGATGCCGGGGGTGCGCGGGGCTGAAGAGCGGAGAGTGTTCGTCGAATTTGTACGTACTTCAGCTTCTTTTCGAAGCATTCGGTATATACTAGCCCCGACGAGGTTTGTAACGTTAGCCGGACGGGCGATAAAATCTTGTCGGAATGCGATTCGCGGGTCGTTACGAGCGCGTAAAAGTCGGAAACACGGCGTGTGCCAAAGCGCGT